TTACAATAACGGGTTGAATAAATGTAAACTGTGAAGAGGGCTGTCTACTTACGTCGTCCGTCACGGGGCGTCGTCCAATTAAGGGCGAGGAGGACCGACGTCGTTCGGAGGTGCAGATGACGTCACTAGAAGAAAAAACCCAAACTGTGAGGCGATAATCGAGCTAAGGAGCTTTAATCACTGATAAAGAGACAAAGTGAAACAGCATGTGAACTGCAGCTTCAAACGAATACTGTGTGAAGAAAATTATAATATTAAAGCGGACGTTCACATGCACACAAATAACCAAACTGCTAAGACACGTATCGACAATTCAAAAGAATTAGGCCATGGTTACTTCAACCACATGGTCAGCCATCATCACAAAACGCACTATAATAGGCGACATGAACCGAAGCTACCAGTCGTTCGGCTGGTCAAAACAATTCCCTGTACGTCATGGAACCGACGAATTCATCATCGCCACTGGACCCCATTCTGAGCTAGAGTCTCATCGAGTTTGGTTCAACTGTAAAATCGACTGAGTACATTAATAAATTAGCAGTTGGCTCAACTGTAAATTAGTTAAAGGTGGTTTGTCATGTTGAAAGCGGATTTCAACATTTCAATGGCAGCAAACGTGTCCCAACTCCACCAACCAATTTTCTTTCAACAGACTTTCCGCCTGAGGAATGGCTTGCCCAAATGTTGCACCGCCCTTCGGTAATTAATTGGTTAAAAACCGAATTAGCGCCGCAGAATCCTTTCGCTTCTCCGGCTCCCGTGTAGATGATCATAACTTTTTTTTAAAGTGTCCGTCGACGTTCAGTTACTTCGAAACATGTGACAGCGAAGGCAAAGAGAATGATTGATTGAGTGCGAGGAAGAAATTTCATTATTTCACTCCAAGAGTTGCTTTACGGAAATCCCTGGCGTTTTCGTCAGCTTTACTGTGTAACTCTTGGAGTGTCTCTTTAAAACATAGTCATTTGATAGCACTGTACGCCGCATGTAATTTGGAAAGTCGCAGATTTCCTTTTGAAACTTGAAACTCTGCTGGAAGTCCCGCCTTTATGGGCTTAGTTAGAAACTACGTCCTCAAACGCTGGAAGAGACGGGACCAGGGAACGCGCATTCTAAAAGGCGCTGATATGTGAGTAGACTGATCTTTTGCCACCCAAAATAGGGCGCAATGTCTAACTTTTATATTCGAAATAATCACAAATCTGTTCAGAGGACGCAATCAGAATACAACCGATAAGACATGCAGAACTGTTCTCGACTGAAACATCGGTGTACCCGTTTCAAATCGTCTCTTGAGCTTTCTGTCTGTTCAACGACGCTTTCTCTGATGCACGGCTTATATGAACGACGAAGAATACGAGAGGAAGCGGTCACAACTTGTTCAAGCTGGTATTTGTCTGGAGAGACCGAGGAAAACCTCGAAAACCGCAGGCGAAGGTAGCAAGACACCGGATGGAGAAACAAACGCTGATAACTTGACATGAAAAGGAACACTCGGTGAGAACAGTATGAAGGAAATATAAGTTGAAGAGTTACAAAGCCCTTCTGATCAAATAGGCGGACTTTAGACACTGCGGGAAACAATTATTCAATCCAGCCGGGATTAACCTACACAGACGATTCATAAATGAAATAAAAGACGCAACTTCTATGAAACGTCGTCCATTAACTCTCTGAAGCAGAAAGAACAACCAACCAAATAATATTTCAGAATGCGGTTCTTAGCTCAAAGAAAACAAGGCGTCTCCATGACAATGACCAACTGATACACACTGTTCAAAAAAAATTACAGCTGTTTCTTATGAGAGACGCGATTAGTTATTCAACGTTGAAATGTGTGGTACATATATTTACCACTGGAGTTTAACGGGTTGAATCCAGTCCACGCACGCTCTAATTCAAAACGCCCGTTGTAACATCGTCCCAGTAGCGCTTAGTTAACCTGCCTCCTTTTTTTGGGTTCAAAACAAAAACTCTTTATACGTATCGCTACATAACCTTTTCACATAATATAAATAAACACTTAGCGGTACTTAAATGACTCTAAAGTCCCTCATAAGGCACTGCGTGCAGACCAATGAGACGTAAGCCGGTTACACCAAACACAGAATCAACCCTGACAAAAATTAAAACGCTAATTAAAATAGCATCAATATTTACTTTTCATTAACATTGAGCAAAATATATTTGAAATGGTTTTGGATTAATACTGCAACTTCGAAATGCAAACTGTTTACCCCCGCTCATAAAATCTGTTTGTTTTGGTTTACGGTCTGGTATTATGTTAAAACATAATTCGTAGGGAATGTCGTGTTACAGGCGAGGACACATCTCAGCTATGAAACGTAACTTTGGGCGAATTTATAAGTTTGTCTGCACTGAGGTTCTTAACCAACGGTATAAAATACGTCTATTTACCTGCTGTGAGGGCCGACACACACGGAAAACCTGAAATTTGTTGCAAAGAATGTGTTGTTGGTAAACGCTGGAAGTCATAATTAATAAAATAATTTTAGACAGGCTTACACTGCATGCAATATTTGAATTAACGTGAAACTGTAACAAAATAATTATTTAAAGGTCGTTAAACATTGTCATTAAAAGGTCATTACGTGAAATTGAAACACGAAGAAATTATACAGAAACTGTTTTTTCTCGCTGCCATGTCAACAGGAGAAATCAAGCCTCTCTGTTTTGAACATTAAATTTTGTATGCATTTATATCACTTCCGTGTATGTTGAAAGTGTAAATCTTTTCCGTGCGAGGCGCTTCGGGAGTCTTCAAATCAGAAAAAGGCGCAAACTAATTGAAATTCATCAACAACGCGCACACAAACGTTAGCACGTTGAAATCCTTCCGCCACGAGACACAAAACAGAATTATGCATCAAATAAACAAAACTATTTTTTTCTAGAATACAACCGATAAGACATGCAGAACTGTTCTCGACTGAAACATCGGTGTACCCGTTTCAAATCGTCTCTTGAGCTTTCTGTCTGTTCAACGACGCTTTCTCTGATGCACGGCTTATATGAACGACGAAGAATACGAGAGGAAGCGGTCACAACTTGTTCAAGCTGGTATTTGTCTGGAGAGACCGAGGAAAACCTCGAAAACCGCAGGCGAAGGTAGCAAGACACCGGATGGAGAAACAAACGCTGATAACTTGACATGAAAAGGAACACTCGGTGAGAACAGTATGAAGGAAATATAAGTTGAAGAGTTACAAAGCCCTTCTGATCAAATAGGCGGACTTTAGACACTGCGGGAAACAATTATTCAATCCAGCCGGGATTAACCTACACAGACGATTCATAAATGAAATAAAAGACGCAACTTCTATGAAACGTCGTCCATTAACTCTCTGAAGCAGAAAGAACAACCAACCAAATAATATTTCAGAATGCGGTTCTTAGCTCAAAGAAAACAAGGCGTCTCCATGACAATGACCAACTGATACACACTGTTCAAAAAAAATTACAGCTGTTTCTTATGAGAGACGCGATTAGTTATTCAACGTTGAAATGTGTGGTACATATATTTACCACTGGAGTTTAACGGGTTGAATCCAGTCCACGCACGCTCTAATTCAAAACGCCCGTTGTAACATCGTCCCAGTAGCGCTTAGTTAACCTGCCTCCTTTTTTTGGGTTCAAAACAAAAACTCTTTATACGTATCGCTACATAACCTTTTCACATAATATAAATAAACACTTAGCGGTACTTAAATGACTCTAAAGTCCCTCATAAGGCACTGCGTGCAGACCAATGAGACGTAAGCCGGTTACACCAAACACAGAATCAACCCTGACAAAAATTAAAACGCTAATTAAAATAGCATCAATATTTACTTTTCATTAACATTGAGCAAAATATATTTGAAATGGTTTTGGATTAATACTGCAACTTCGAAATGCAAACTGTTTACCCCCGCTCATAAAATCTGTTTGTTTTGGTTTACGGTCTGGTATTATGTTAAAACATAATTCGTAGGGAATGTCGTGTTACAGGCGAGGACACATCTCAGCTATGAAACGTAACTTTGGGCGAATTTATAAGTTTGTCTGCACTGAGGTTCTTAACCAACGGTATAAAATACGTCTATTTACCTGCTGTGAGGGCCGACACACACGGAAAACCTGAAATTTGTTGCAAAGAATGTGTTGTTGGTAAACGCTGGAAGTCATAATTAATAAAATAATTTTAGACAGGCTTACACTGCATGCAATATTTGAATTAACGTGAAACTGTAACAAAATAATTATTTAAAGGTCGTTAAACATTGTCATTAAAAGGTCATTACGTGAAATTGAAACACGAAGAAATTATACAGAAACTGCTTTTTCTCGCTGCCATGACAACAGGAGAAATCAAGCCTCTCTGTTTTGAACATTAAATTTTGTATGCATTTATATCACTTCCGTGTATGTTGAAAGTGTAAATCTTTTCCGTGCGAGGCGCTTCGGGAGTCTTCAAATTGAAATTCATCAACAACGCGCACACAAACGTTAGCACGTTGAAATCCTTCCGCCACGAGACACAAAACAGAATTATGCATCAAATAAACAAAACTATTTTTTTCTTATAATTTATACAAAACACCGCTATCCAAACAAATTCTAGAAGCATGCAAAAGTACAGTTCGCAGCATAAAAAGTGCTACGTGACGTAATTGCTAAATGAACGTAAAGATGTGTGTTGGAGTGAATTACATGCGTCGGACTACGCATACCAACTTCAGCAGAATCAGTAGGAGGGAGGGGCGAAGTGCGGACGAGAGAAATTTCAAGCACTTCTGGACCGCAAACATAAATCCCGTTCTTTATGTTGTACACTGTACCGTTGCCATGGAAACACCTCAAAGTAAAACGCATTATGTTTAATAGTAGAGAAAAATAATTGTTTGTTGTTATCATAATCCACGGTGCGAATAAGAAACTTTGGCGAAATCTTATAATTCGCGTATTAAAATAAAAAGCCTGCATAACTCTGGCGGAATTACATGTATTACATGTAAACAGAGCCAATGGTGTTCACTTACGTAAGCATAAAAATTTGGATAAAAACTTCTTGGATCGAGTTACAAAGATTCTTAATTCTGTGCGCTTTTGTGAAGATTTA